TCTATCGACGCACTGGCTAGATGAAAACTATTTAGACGCATACAAATAAATTCACCTACTCAAAGATTCTTCTCTCATCCCTGATCCCAAGTCTAAAACTGATCTGCGGGATAGTAAGGGAGATAAGGGTCCCTCAACCACTGCTCATAGGATGTAGATGGTATGGAATACCATAATACACTAGCCCTTGGGCCATTTCTGATGCATCGAACCCAGTTGGAGAGATAGCCCTTCACTACGCCAGCATAGTTTATGGTCACTCTCTTATAGAAGCGAACCCTGTCCCTGATTCTGGTGCCTACGGGGCGAGCAGCAATTCTTCGTTCTTGCTCGAGTACTACCTTATCCCAAATCGGGGCATGACACTGGTCTGACAAATCTGCATTCTCTTCAATTAGTTTGACTAGGGCTTCTCATTGATCGACATGTGCCCGCTGAAGATTTCCTAGCCATTCATTTAGTCTAGTATTGTCACCTAAAGCTCGGGTCAACCTCTCCTTTAGCCTTGTGTTCTCGCCCTCCAGAGTCTCTATAGTCTCCATCATGTCCTCACGTGTCGGGGTGCGGGGCGTGTAGTCCACCGAAGATTCGGGCGTGGTCCCTTGCCTGATGGGCTCGTGTGATGATACTTCACCAGTGTGGGCCGGACTATCGCTTCCGGACCGAGTACCGGGAACCTGTCCGGTGCTGGGGCGGTGACTGCCAATCGACCCTCTATTTGGTCCTAGCCCGTAAGGCGTCCTACGGGTTCCGTATCCGCGTCCACGTCCGTGTCTGATAGCCCTGGTGTGGATAGTGCAAACCATGTCTCCTACAAATAAAAAGGAACACTAAGTCGAGTAGTGACGTAGGATCAAACTTAATCGCATGCTAAGCGCACTAATACACAATAAACATGTGCTTCGAATAATCCTTTCAGTTTAAGCTTAGGCTAAGCAAATCTCAACCTATTTACCTTAAACTAAAGCTCTAACAATCTTCTCAGTTTAAGCTTAAGCTAAGTAAGTTATAGCCTAATTACCTTAAACTAAGGCTTTGATACCAACTTGTAACACCCTCATTTTTCCTTCCAAAGAGTCGTTACTTAATCTAAAACATTTTCCATAATAGATACGCCAAAATAGTGGCTAAATTAAAATCATTTAAACTATTACAGCGGAAGTCCTTGAATCATCCAAATTTAACTTAAGTTCTAACCCACTTTCTTTTGGGGTTAAGTTACAAAAGATCGTTACAGCGCAACTAGTCAGAAGACTGTAAAATAGATAAAAATGAGCAACTCTCTAAGCATGTCCCTTGCCTTTATCCGTCCTCGAACTACCTGGGCCTGAGATGCATACTATAGTCAGCTTATAAAGCTCAGTGAGTTCATGGTTTTCGTGTGTAAAGATTATTGCACATCGCACATTTCAACTTGTAAACTTTGTATTAAATAACATGCATTTTCTGATAACACGTTATACTGAACAAGAATGAGATCTCCCGATTTGATTGTCGGGTATGAGTTGTTTAGTCACTGGCATTCCCTGAGTTGTCCGGCCAGTATCTGCCTGGACACTCATTAAGGGGTCGTGCCACTTGTCGTGTGTGAGTCATTTAGTCACTGGCATTCCCTGAGTTGTCCGGCCTGCATCCGCCTAGACACTCATTACGGGGTCGTGCCACTTGTCATGT